TTATTCGAGATTCATTAAAAATTTTGTTTTATTCGTTCATAGTAATGACTAAGTACTGTCGACATTAACACTGAAGTTTATTCCGTTAATACATGTATTATTTTTTTTAACAAATAATCGTAATCTCCAGTGTTTGCAATACAATTTAATTTCTCTTGTTCTAAAATTCTGAGGTATTCAAACCTACGTTTGGCTTCAACTTCTTGTTGGCATCTATTTTTTTATGCTCGAGTTTCTTTCAATTTTCTGGACGTTACATATTTGTGTTCTTTTTCACTTTTATCGGATTTTTTTTATGTTGTAGTTTTTTTACTTTCGTTTGATTTTACTACATTATTTACTATTTATTTGTTCTTATTTGACTGTCTACCAAGTTGTGTATTAAACCATATATTTCTGTATCAAGCTATTATTTCGTTATTGACATTGTAGAATTTGTATGATTTTCTTTCTCTTTAAAAACCAACGGATATTATTTTTTCTTTTGATGTGCCAAAACATAAAGCATTCATTAATATATAATTATCTAAAAAAATTTTTTTTTGTAAACGTTCCATGATTTCACTCGTTTTGCTGCTTGTATGTGTAGAATTTGATCGAAAAGAATAAACCCATTGCGTTCATTATCCATAAAAGTAACTCCGCCCTAAATTTCAAAGTAGATTTTCAGTACACTATGGATATAAAAGATTCTCATCCACATCTTCGTGATAATTGAGTTTCTCCTCCTTGATATCCTTCGCTCATAATAACGAGGATCCAGGAATCCATTTCCGGAACCCGTACGAAGAATGTATAATGCTTCTCTTTTCTCTCGTTGAAAGCATAGTTAGTTTACTGTGGTCCGAATTTCTCTCCAACATACAACTTTTTTTTTTCATGAAGTCGTAAGTCAACTTAAAATCTATGGGTAGTACATGCAAACTTAAATTTTACTCGTGCACACTGTGCCCAGAATTCATGAAAAGCTGGAAACATTTTTTTGTGTTTATAACGTTTTCGCATTTATGTATCCCAAAGGAAAATTGTCATTATTTAAACATACTTTATCATCCGTGATTCTTCCTTCCATTTCCGATGTTAACGATCAATTCAGTCACGATAACTTGGGCGTGATCACTGTACCTAATAAAATAAGGGACCTTTACCAATTTGTTTCACAATTCATTTCTCTACCAAGAGCACGAACTTACCCTATCCCAGCGAACACAAAGGTTAAACATTTTCGGCGAAATGAAATCCAGGTATCGTTAAAATGCAGCAGTAACCGCACTCCGGCACGTGCCACCTTTAAGGTCATACATAACCTGTGGAGTACAGCCACGAACATGCAAACTCTCCAGCAATAAATAAGTTTCCACCTTCACTCCATTACGATTTCCCCCTATTCACCATTCCGACTAAAAATACACACAATCCCGCGTTTTACCACCGAAAGAAAAACACTGCCGGCATATAATAAAATTTCACGAGTAGGTAATTTCCTAAATTCATTTTCCTTTCCAACCAAACGTTGATGACAACTCCTCTTCCCTTCCGAATCTATTACTTCCTCCCTCATAACTCGTACCCTCCAGTCCGCATCGCTCATCCCTGCTCGTTTATCATATCTCCAACCCCCGAGGTCATCGCGTCCTCGGAATCCAACATCGACCCTCAGGTCGGCGGCGGCGGCGGTGGCGGCGTCCTTGCGAATAATCGCAGCTGCCCTTGTCGGTGCCGACTTTTTATCGAATCGTGGGCACGTGACCTAGTGCCTGAATCTTCGGGGGTGCACAGTGGCGGCGGGGTGGGCAGCGATTTTTAGTCTGTTATTATTATTATTATTATTATTAAGACAGAAAATTGGTAAAGATAGTGGGTAAGATGTTGACATTGGTTAATTAATGTTATCTTCCAAGTTTTACGTTATAAAGTAGAATGATAAAGAATAATTCGTCGCAAAAATAAGTAATTATTACCTTTTCTTACATCTTAATCAGAGTACTGACGATAGCAAAACCAATTAAAGTTGTTGATTTCTTTTATCTATCCCTTATCGCAGTTATTTTCTCATGGTTACTGTTCCCAAAATTCATTGTGAGGTTCTATTTAATTAATGTTTGCCAGATTACCATTACTTAAATAAAAAATATCGATATTTTGTAATTAGCTACCAGTTATAAATAAATTAATACTTGGTATGTGGTACTTCGTAATTTGCATTTATCGTTATTTCTGTGGTCCAAAACTATGGAATAACTACTTTGACTTGCTAACCGAACGTCGTCTGTTCATCTCCTCTAAGTATTCATGATGTCACGTAAAGGATGGACAATCTTACCATTGTTAATCATCAAATTATGAACTTTCAAAAAAACTGCTTGGTATATGTATAAATGTAGATCTAAGACTTGGGCCGGAATCCGCACCTGGACCCTCTTCGTTTTCTTTTTACATAAATGACATTCTACAACGAATTTTTGGTGAAAGTCGGTGACGAGCCGCCGCTGCCGTTGGTGGATCCCCGGATAATAGCCTCCGTGACTCCGGTCCGTTTTTTACGCGCGCATTACGGACGTACGTCGGTAGGGGGCGTCGGGCCGCGACACGCGCGTTTTCTTTTGTTTATGGAAGGTCGGTGATTGTAAAACCGTGAAAGTTTTATCGTCTAAATATTTTTACGTGGCGTTCGCGTGTTCCTGGGATCTTTAATGAATCACGATTATAATTAAACGTGCGAAAAGCGTCGGTTTGATGGTTTGTTTAATCATTACAGCACCGCGATAAAGTGGCTAAAAATAAGGCCCGAAAGAGGTTACGGATGGTTGGAAAGGGAACGGCGAAAGTGAAGAACGGGGAGAGGGAGCGACGTGCTTTATTAAAAAACGCTGGAAATCCTGTAAATTCGTAGCGATTTTTTAATGCGTTCTTGACCTGTAAACCAATCGGTTAAATTACGAGCCGAGTGCTGAGAAGGGAGTGAAAAGAACTGTCATTGCGTTTTCGTTGAGGAAAGTTTCCGGGGTCGAGGGACTGGAATGGGCGCCAATTCGGACCTTCTGGTACCGATTGATATAGTATGATGTACATTAAACAAAAAAAAAAAAAAACACATAATTACCAACAGCTGTTAAAATTATCGAAAAGTTCGTAAAAATAAGGATTGTCGCCAATCTAGATTCTGTATACTTTATTATTTTATAATACTAACAAAACTTGTAATTTAAAAAATTCTGAGGATCTTGTTGATTGAGTGCTGGAGTGTTAAAGAACTAAGAGAATATTAATGTTATCTCCAAACAATATTCTTTATAATTGAGTGAAGACTATTAAGAACACCAAACAATCCGGTGTTTCTTTTTGAGAAAAACGCAAACAAAGCGCCACAAAACAAAAGAAAAGTCCTCAACACAATCAAACTCTCCTTCTACTCATTCAAACTAATTACCTCGGCTATCACGAGATCAAACAGACTTCCCAGCTTTTTTCCATCCCCTAACTCATAAGTAAATGGTAGTTACCCCAACCTTGAGCCCATTTTTCGATCAATAAGACATTATATTCGTGACACCTCGCAAAGAACTCGTGATTTATTACCGCGTCTCTTCATTGGAACAAATTAAAAAATTTCAACTGCCTGCGTCTCGCGTCGCAGAAAAACGCTATCCGACGCTGAGACAATAAATTTAATGGAACTAACCTGGATAACACGACCCTACCATTATGGAGCGTTTATTTAGGGAAGAGGGTTTCTAGTTTGCGCCCTTGAAATCAATCAACGTGCCACTTGCGATTTCGAGTCGGCAGTTCGCGATGGTGTGAGCATTATTCACTGCTATCACGCGATCCTCCCTTATTACCTTTCAAATCAGACTTTACATTATTATCTGCAATAATTACTCTACCTTATCGCCACGCCAAAGGAACTATCGAACCGTTTTTTTCCGCCGCTTTGACGTAGGTTTTCGCAGATTGGATAGATGCTAATCTTTATTTGCTGTAATGGGTGTTAACAAATATGAGGGGTTTTTAATGAAAAATCGATGGCGTCAAGGTTTTTGGGGGTGGCGGGGTGGAGCGATGGTATTTGCCCAGCGGAGACACAGAACAAATTGGAAAAAAATCGGGGGCGTTCATTACGTGCCATCAATATACGTTCCCTGTGTTAAAAGTTCAGAGTTCCAAGTGTATTTTAATTTTTTTGTACAGTTAGGAAAACAATTCTTTGTTTCAGTTTGACAAGATTTTTTTTCAAATTCCGCTGAATTACAGGTGATTCAGTGTAGTTTTCGCATGCAATTATGTATTTTCGGAACTACCAACACAACTATCATTTAAAGCACACTAAAGTAAATCCTGTACTAATATGCTCGGTGGTTTCCGGAGGGAGAATAACATTTTTTCTCTGATAGAATGATAGGTAGAGGGTTTAAATGCTTGTCAAAATATTTTTAATAGCTTCCATTTTTTAATTTAAATTTATTTTGTTATTAATGCAATTACCGAACAAAGCTGATTTGTCTATAAATCTGAGTTGATGATAGCACGTAATCTCATCTTTTGTGACGTTTGATAAGAAACGTATGCTCTACCTCGTCACTCTCAACTCGTTAATATTTATGTACTTTTATCTCTTATCATGATGACATCTTCATGTGAAAATGTGATTGTTGTTGTTAATTGTAAAGTATAAAGTAGAGTGTGCTTTAATTAAAAATATGGTTGTAATGTAACACTTTGATGGGATAAGTAAGTAGCTTTGGGTGATATTTTTGTATTTTTTTTTTTTCTATTTTATGAGTTGCACATCCAATTGTGGTCGTGTTATAAATTTCCATATTGCATATACCGTAATACATATATTAATTATTTTTGAAGTTATTACTAGAACATATTATTTAAACACTGCAGTTTGTTCCGTTTTAAGATAATAAGATTTTTTTATTCACCTTTTCTTTGTTGTCTGTATATAGGTGTTTCATTATTTTTGCTGTAACAATTTTTTCTTTTGTTTTCAGGTAACCTATATTGCTTCTACGAACCGCCGGCCTTCAGTTTTGGCAGAAAACAGCCTTTCTTCTAATTCATGGTTCGTGTCCAATTTTTATCTCTTCCTAAAGTAACTGATTACAATTATCTGGTGATCTCCTATTTTGATACATTTTCCTAAATAATAAATACTTCCGTAATTAATTATTTATCACAAAATAGACGTTGATAGATAAGCAGGTTTGCTTATAAAAAAATGTCTGTAGTAGCGCATTTAGACATGTTTTGTACACTGTAAATATTCGTTGAATTTTGCAAAAAAATTTGGAAAGTTTGAGTCACATACCTTTGCACATAAAATTGAGAACGTATATATTTAGTAGAGATAACGCACACTAAACGTCTGTTTTTTCGTTTTTTTCGATATTAAATGCGGTGAAAATGGCAGATCAAATAATATATTTTTTCTACTTTGCGTTAACAATGACCTCATTATTAAACTGAAACCAGTTTAATAATGGGATCAATTGTTAAACTGTATTTCAGGTGGCGTGCAAGAAGTGGGGCCCCCTTCTTCCATTTTTTGAGGCAAACTTAGGTTAGATTGTTAGTGTTCGGTGGTTAGATGTCAAACTTTGACATTGTGAAGTTAGCCACAACGCTACAACTAACCTTTCGAATTAAAAGGCCCTAAATTATAACCTTGAATTTTTATTAATTTTTTGTTTCCGATCAGATGCAAAGTAGAAAAAATAGTATATTATACTTGTTTAATAAGACGCATTGTGGCACTTATTCCTTTGAAGCACTCCTCGCTGCGCTCGTCGTGCCCCAAACCCATGCGTGCCACAATAAGACGTCTTATTAAACTAGTATAATAATATACTATTCCAGCGTCTAGATCAGTAACATAATTAATTTAAAAATGTGCAAACTTTTTTCGTTTTGGTACCTTTTTTGTTTGCAGTTTCAACTTCTAGAATAATCAAAAGCATACAATTACAAAACATGTGCTATGTTTGCTACCCAATTTTATTCATTATGGTTTGCTTTAATTAACAAACAACAAGCGAAATCACAAAAGTCTTTGATCTTTGACTTTGGTTATAACCGCTTTGTGATCTATTTTTCGTATATGTTTTTACTAAAGCGTCACAGGTCTGCAATAAAGTACAGTAAAGAAACAACATACAAAAAAACTGTTGCTAGATTTTTGAAAGGTTTGTTGCAACAAATAGACAATTCGTAATTAAGTCAAGTCCGTTGTATTTTTGATTAAAATAAAAAATAAAAGCTGGTTCTTAGCTTGGAGGTTTCGATTTTTTTTTTTTTTTCTAAAAAGAAAATTCATCATATTTTGGAAACCGTGAGCTCAAAATATTGAAACAATTGCGGTAGTTGTGATCATGTATTAATAATTAACTTAATTTTCACCGAGTTGTGTTTATTAGTACAGAAAATAAATAAGGTAAGACTTGATATATGTTCTTATTATTTCTTAATGCCGAGTAATCAAAAAACATCCACCATATTCCTAACATACCTACATATAAAATTTGACAACGATCATTCGGGTAGTTTCGCAAATTATCCGGACAGACCCTATTACAATAATTCCCTAGCTTACGTTGGGGAAATAAGGAGCTAAAAACTCATTTTGGGAGATCCCAGCATGAGACCGTCGAAGTAGTGTTTAACTGTTTAATAAAAAGGTATAAAATTAAAACAAAACACCAAAAGTCCGAGATTTTTTCAAATTCTTTTAAAAATGAACCGTCGGAGTTCCACAGATTCGTTCATGTTCTTTTAGATATCCGCAGGATTCTTTTAAGCTCTTTCAACAACCAACATCTTAAAATTTTTCACCTTTTATGATTTCAATACACTGATTTAAACCTATTGGCTTGTTCTAACATTGTTAGCTGTAGTAAATTAGGTAATGTTCGTTTTCTTATGGAAAAGTGTTAGCCAACATTTATTTCTATATCGATGTGTATGCCCGGATTAAGTTAACAGAGGAAAACAATTTGATTTATGAAAAGATTTCAAACGAATAAAAATTGTTGGTTCGCTTAATGTAACTAATTCTTCAATTAAAACTACTACGTTTAAATAAACAAGTTTTTTAAATTAATTCATCAAGGTAAAAATTTATTCCATTTAAAGAACCTGCATTATTTAAAACTATTTGTCGATGAAATACTTGTTTTAATTCAAGCAAATTTTGTTATTTTTTTTCTCTTTTTTGTATAAAATAAGAAACAAAAAATCCTCTTGTAAACTCAGTCAATGTACTGTATATACATATTGTGTCGAAATAAACCCATACGCCGCCCCGGTACGTCGCCTATGGGTTCTCTAGAATGTGCGGAGATGACGGGGGACTCATCGTCGCTGACGCAGCCGAGCGGCGTTCGAAAAGCCTGGAAGCGGAAGTCGCGTTGGGTATTCGAGAAGGACCTCGATCGCAGAAGTATGGGTTTAAATAGAGGCCACCTTTGGGAACGAAGATTATTATTCAATCAATCGAGTCCACGAGAGTACAGTCAAGTTGCGCCGGAATTATTTTGTACATAATCGCTGTGTAATAATCAGTCATGTAATTCGAGTTATTAAGAAATAAATTGTTGAGTTTTACCCACGTCGATCTTATTCACCGATCAACGTAACAATATTTTTAAGCATTGTTTCAAAAATTGGGATGTGACCAACCAAAATTTCTCCCAACATTATAAAGTACAATACAAGCAACTGTTTTCATTAAAACTACTGTCTAAATAAAAGAGCCGCTAAATTCACTCAAAATTCGAAAATTTTCAGGACTGTTATCAAGTAGAGAGCAAGTAAATACCAAAATCTTGCATTTGCTATTAAAAATTGGTGTAAGATATTAGAACGAACTTCCTTCGTCCCTAGAATGCACCTCAATAAATCTAGCTCCTTTTGATGATCAGACAAATTTATGTTTTACCATCTACATGATATTCCTAAAATTATCAAATTTTGTAGTCGGTCCAGTACTTTCAAAGATTATCTGTCTAATAAATATCGACACAGAAAACAGGTAGACAGACAGACGACAAACAGACGCCAGATAGTCTGACGGAAACGAGAAACTCCATTTTTCATACTTTAGGAATCATTGAACCTCGAGAACACATTAAATTAACTGTTCCCCTATTACGATATTAGAATTAAAACTACGGCGTTTAGCATTTACAAAATACGGTATTCAAATTTTATAAAGTACCCGTACAGAATGTATAAATGATTCTAAGGGCGTAATTGCCCATGGATTTCAAAAAATCCCGCTTGGCTGAAATCATGCCTCATTATTACAGTTCTCACCTGTCATTAATGTCATTTGTAACCTGTCATTTAAAGTCATCATTTTTATTGTTCTAACGTTTTTCAAGTGTGAATTAAAGTAAATCTCGTTTTCTAAGCTCAAAACAACAAAACAGTCGTTTTATTGTTTGGAATTTAATCAACGCGAACACCAAGACTTTTGATTTTGAACTCTTGACAAAGGGAAATCTCATAGAAAACCTTCAGTGTCTGAGGAAGTTGTTGATGATTTGAGACGACTTGAGCAGAATCCGCAAGCATCTTTGACAAGATTATCTCAGAAGTCAGGAGTTCCTATTGTCATATGAAATTGAACAATGAGTCCAAAGCATTAACGAAAGGATGTTACAGAACGTTTTTGAAATTAAAAGGAGAATCAACATGTCCCTTGAACAAAATGGTGAACATCTTCAACATTTGCTGTGATGTTTAACCACAATAAATTTGTTTCTTTTTATTGTAATGAATTAGTTTTATTTTTTACCAAGATTGAAACATTTAGGAAAGTCCACATAAAATCATAAACGGCACGCTTCCATGACCTACTTTGACTCTATAATCATTTATAGAAACCCTGTACAAAGTAAGTCGTGTGTCTTGTGGAGTACGGCGTTGATCGTTCATAGAGTACTGCCTTCGTCGTTTATAAAGTTCGAGGTTCAAAAGGAGCATGAGACGTCCAGAAAAGTCGCCGGATGGACCCTATACTTCCCGAGTCAGATTATTGCCGAACTAATAAATAACTTCGTGTGTATGTGATTGTTTGTTGAATTTTGTCATGCGTGTCTTGAGTGACGAACATTCGGATATTCAAAATACCCCACCAAAAATAACAGAAAAAGCAACAAATGTTTCATTGAATTTATTACCAACGATTTCTCGAGAAAAGTGTTGAAGTGCCTACGATTAACTATAATTCAAAATGGGTTGTATGATAGTTAATAAAATTATTATTGTAAAGTTGTAAATTTAAATTTGGTTAGAAAAAAGTGTGATAATGATGATAACTGAAAATGTACCAGAGACCAATGAAAAATCCGCTATTATTTTTTTTTACTCGTGAGAAATTACCTCTTTCACACCAGTAATACCATATACTCGTTCCGAGACCCGTACAACGTGAACAATGAAGTTTCTAATACATATTTAATATAATTTAACCTAAAAAATGTCGAATAAAGAGTAAAAGTAACAAAATCGTGTACGTAATAGTGTTTTAAGTATTTTTCGTATACATGGATAGGTTTATGACATAAAGATTACCAAAATTTAAATTTTAAATTTTTCATAGTACGCAAAGAATGTGTCACTAAAATAAGTAAATGTCCACAGCAATAAATTACTTGAAATGTTTGCTTTAAAAAGATCTTTTATTTTTGTAAATGTCTGAATATTCAACAAGTTACGAATTTTTTTACATGCTGATATTTAACTTTAATTCTATTAGTTTTTGAAGAATTTTTCGAATATTCGATTATATGCAGCTGTTTTTTGGTAAAATCATAACGAAGTCTGGGATAACAAATTTTATAGTGCTTTTGTCATAGACCAGTCTATCCCCTAGCAGTTTTTAGAGCGTCTGAAAGCTTGTTAGTAATTGGTAGGTGGAGCATTTGAACTTTAACGTATTTTTAGTGCAGCGAGTCCAGATGAAAATTGGATCGATATTTATTAAAAAATGATAAATGTCAGCCATGTCAAAACATTTTTAACCCATACATATTTAAATTTTGCGCCACATTTATAAACGTT